ANAGTTGTATTACACACACACACACACACACACACACACACACACACACACACACACACACACACACACACACACACACACACACACACACACACACACAGAACACTCATCATCATCATTTACTCATTCACACATGCTCACATGCTCTCCACATCACAACTACATAACACCATCACCATCATCATCGCTGACGTTGTTAAATAAGCTAAAACGAAATTATATAAAACCTTACCAAACATAATTGATGGAATGGACACAGCTACCAATAAAAAAAAGTTGAATCACCCTGCTACAACACACAGAACTAAAAAAATGAAAGAACAACCAACGTGTAATTAGGTATAGTTTAGTACAGCCAGTCAAGAAAACATAACACGGTAAATAAGTTATTTAATTAAAGGAGCTGAAAACTCAACAGCAGTTTAACAGTTTCAAGTGCAATCATGGTCAATCTAACTCTTGGTCACATCATTCTAAACTCTTAATGAAATAGAAAAGATTATATAAATATTTCAAGACTACTAAATACCTCAATAATTCATTTAGGTGTTATATGCTCTCCTATATAGGCTTTCTTCAGTTATATATATTATTATTAATATTTAGTTATATTATCTACAATAATGATAATATTATGAACATTTATTATGATAATATTAAAATAATATAATACTTATAAATAAATAATAATAATAATTATTACGGTGATATAATAATTTTATGGCAGATGTATAAAAACAAATTTTTTTAGAGTATATTAAAAATGCAATCAGCTATCTTCCAATAATACATAGTAAACATCTTTTCAAACATGCTCTACCTCAATGCTTAAAAATAACATTACACAGTAACTCAGCAATCAGACGAAATATCAACGAATAAAAACAACATCAAAGGTAATATAATAATTTAATAATAATAAATATAAAGTAAAGAGCAAAGACAAAAACCCGTAAAAACAAAAAAACAGAATAAATGAACCTATGCAGACGTTGAAAGATTTTACATGCAACTATCAACTTATGCATGCTTAGTAGTTTATTCCTCACCACAGATTTCAATGTTAAAGGTAATAATAGCAGATGATGTAATAATGATGGTGAATAAAATGGCGGTGATGACGAAGAAATGATGAGATGATTAAATGATAATGATGATGGTTAAAATAATTATGTTATAATAAAATCACAATACTGTGTAAGCCATTCAATACCAGATCTGTGTTATTAACGTTATCACCTTAGGTTTTTTTGTTTGTAGCTACTAAGCTACTACAACGAGAACTACTACATACTACTACCATTACTACTACTACTATAACTACTACATCATCCTTCCCCTCATCATCATCATCCTCTCATTAACCTTGAGATCTCGATGGGCAATGTCATTGGAGTGAAGGAAGTCTAGTGCCATACAAATCTGGTATACAATGTCTGCTGCCTCTGTGTTGAAATAAACAAACAAACAAATAATAAGACAAATAAACACACGCACACATACAAACACATACAAACAAAAACAACATACACACATGTGTACGTGATCAAAACTACTGCAAATCTACATATAAACACACACACACGTACACACATAAATCTCAAATATTGATTCTACATTTATTTATTATACAGCTTTTTTTTTAATTTGATCAGGGTGTGTCATGAATATGATGGGATATTCCCGCATTCTAGACAACATAACAAATTATTAAAATCTCAAACCCAGGAATCCATAATATGAACATAAACATTTTGATAACATATTCAACAAACAAGTAGAAACATGTATTCATAGATATATTTATATGACCAACAATACTAATTGGTTACCAGAGCTAAATTCTTCAGAAAACTTAAACATGTCATGTTTAAAATTAACTTAGAAGAGTAAAATTGTAAATAATTATTATATACATTATAAATAGATGCAGTTCTGCATACACACACACGCACACAAACACACACGCACACACACGTGTGGATGTATATACGCATAATGTATGTAAAGTACCAGACTCCAGTTAAGATATATTTTTGTTCTGGGTGCATATCTATCTAGAAGGTTAACAATTTTTTTCCAAACCATTAATAAACATCACATGAAAATGAAGGAATGAATGAATGAATGCTAGGATGAATGAGTGAAAAGATGAATGAATGAAAGATGAATGAACGAATGAGTGAATGAATGAATAAATTGTTGATTTGATAAGCAGGCAGAATTCAAGTAACTTAAACGACCCTGTATAGAAGATTCCCCGAAGAATGAATATATAATTGGTAACATTATACCAGAAATCAATAATGTGATTGATATATACAGAACATATTTACACATTCTAACATTACTATCTGCTGTTTGGTTGCTGAATAAAAATAATGCAACAGTCAAGAGTATTATAAATCTATGTATTAATTCTCAATTTTACTTTAAGCATTTAACTGATAGACAAGTACATGAACAGACAGAAGAACATGCATACAAAAACGCGTATGTACTCTTTCACCGCTGCGTATTGAAGAAACCGAATCAGAAAACACATCACTTTCACCATTTTAAAACCTCCCTCCTAACCGTCCAAAAACATGAAACAATCCCACTGAAGCTAATAAATAAATGAAGGAGAATCAGGTTGATGTAAAAATTAGTTAGCAAATCTCCAATCTTAATTGGCACTTCATACTACAGAGTGGGTAGGTACTAGGTAGGTATGTAGTATTGTAAGTTTGCTATACAGACATAAGACATGTGCACAGATCATAACACTATCTGTTTGCTTGTTTATTCAGAAAATAGCAGGCAGAGAAAAAAATTTACACTATCATTTTTTTCTTACCAACTCCTACTTAAAATCACAATGCCTTGCATACAATAATTAACCATGTTATCATCACACAACACTGTGTTTCATAATGAAGCTGTCTACAATTACTGATAAATTTTACTCTGGTTATATATAAATTACTTTGGAATTGAAAAAAAAAAACTAAAACCTCTTTCTGTGAATGGGGAGTCTGAATGCTCTTGAATTCTATTGAAGAGTTCTCCTCCACTCATACTGTCAAACAATTTAATATAAATTTAATTTCTTTAATATCATATTAAAATGTATTGTATTAATTATGTATTGTTTTAATAAGGAATTGTATTAATTGGGTATTGTATTAATTAGGTATTGTTTTAATAAGGAATTGTATTAATTGAGCATTGTATTAATTAGGTGTTGTATTAATAAGGAATTGTATCAATTGGGTATTGTATTAATAAAGGAAATGTATTAATCTGTTATTTTTATAATAAGGTATTGAATTAATAAAGAATTGTTATAATTAGGTATTGCATTAACTAGGTATTGTACTAGTTAGGTATTATATTAATTGGACATTACATTAATTAGGTATCGTAATAATCAAGTATTGTATTAAATAGGTGTTGTATTAATTTGGTAATTTATATGGTTGAGGTTTAGGTTAAAAAAAGTTTAGTCTCTTATTTATTTGTCATTGTTAACAACTGTTGTAGGATTATATAAGAAAATTGAATTTTATTTAATTTATTTATTTGAACAAATTTGAAAGAATTTATAAATAAAATTACCATTCCATAACGAGTAGCAGACACTTCTGACCACTGATTGTATTTTCATAGACGTCGATAATGTTGACGATGTATTCACAACCAGATGCTCTGCAGTGTAATTCTACTTCCCTTCGTGCCTTTGGGGAATCTTTTAGGACCTTTTTAAATTTTCAAACAAACAAAATATCAAATAAGTTCAGTGCTACTAAATGTGAAAAAGTTCACATCAGATTACTTTATTTAATTTATTACTATTGAGTATTAACTATCAACTATTACTTCTTTTCTAAACTTTAATTAATTAAATTAAATTTGAGTGTTTGGTTTGTCCATTTGACAATATCAATTAATAATAAAATTAAATAAAATAAATAGTTTGAAATGAAATATGAATATAATAATAATTTATTTAATATATCATATCAATATTCATAATATATTTTACAATTTGAAAATAAAATATAACTGTAACAAAGTATGAAAAACAGCAGGTTATAAAATTAAACATGTAACTGTAAGAATAACTTATTTTATTATTCATTTTTTTGATTTTGTATAAAAATGATCTAAATTAATAAATATAATCAATATAATATATATTATATATAAATCAATTTTGATTTTAAAAATGACATGTGTCAGTAGTGTAGTAAATGCAAACAGTGAAATGATGAACATATGAAATGAAATGACAACCCCACTAGCTACCTACATCACTAACGGAATGAAGCAAACAATTAAAACTCGAACATCTGATTTATAAAATTATTAAAAAAAATGGTTGTCATCACTTTTAAAGCGTAAACTTGTCCCGACGATCTACTGATGCACTCAACGACTTTGCCATTGATTCCCAGACCTAGGACCTTGCTCAACACTTTGTAATCATCTGACAAGCTGTTTGTCTTCGGTTGCCAACCTTTTGAGTGAGCTTCGCCCATTGTTTTTCACAATAAATATTGAGATAAATTTAGTAAATTTAGTTAAAAATATTCAAAATCGCCAAACTTTAATAACTTCCCGGAGTTGATCTGAAAAAAATAAATACTAAGTGAAGACACCAGGACAACAAAGACTATAAATATTGTTTATTTTCCGGTAATGGTTTTTGTAAGGTGAATGCAGGCGAAATCATTTGAGTAGTATAAAAACTATATCCCACAAATGGTTAATAATTCAAAACTTAATTAGTTTAGCTTATGATTGATTATTGTAACTCGCTCTACTATGGTCTTCCTGATTCTACACTCTATCCTCTAAGTAAAGCTTTTAACTCTGCTGCTCGCCTAGTTGCTCGTGCCCCTATCTTTTCTCATAGTATATCTTCATATCCTGCCCTCTCTTTAAACTGGCTAAATATAAAAAAGAGAAATTTTTTTAAATGTGCACATTAATGTAATTGTTTCGATTTAAATTATTTTCTAAGTAGTTATTAGATATATTAATGAAGCCTACACGCCCCGAATTACGATCGTCTTTTCTTTCCCACTTTTTTATAACTCCTGCTAAATACTTTTCTGCTAAATTTGCGTTTGCTTTTTCTGGCTCTTTGCTCTGGAACTTTCTATATTTTCTTCTTTAACTACTTCTCCATCATTTACAAAGTTCAGAGCGGATCTCAAGAGAAGACCCATCTCTTTGTAAAATTCATTGAAGGGCGCTGTTGAACATCGCGGAAATGGGGTTTTAAAAACAAATTAATCGGTGTTGACATCAAAGTTGTTGTCAATGGCTCTGGAAACAGAAAAATGACATTATAACAAATTTTTGGTTTGAATTTTGGGAGCAATCTCTCTTTGAAAATTTTCCTTCATGGTAGATATAAGCCTTCATACACCAACAAATAAAGAAACAGGCGCAATCATTTTCTAATACTTGTTAAATTTTTTAATAAAAATAAGATTGCTTGGGTTACATGTGAATGATAAAACTTTTATGAAAACATTCCAGGCTTTACAATTATATACAGTGTTGTATAGTAATCGGATTACAAGTAATCCGATTACGTAATCGATTACATTTTTTTGAATCTGTAATCGCATCATTTATAAAAGTAATCTGTAATCAAATTACATTTTTTGTGTAATCTCTAATCTAAACAGGTGTCACGATTACTTTATTTTAGATTACTTTAACGACAACAATACCTAAGATTTTTAAAATTTAAAGTTAAAAAACTAAAAAAAAGACTTATTCAAAAGAAATAGTTTATCCATTGACGTCGTATGCTTTTTAATTAGACCGCCCACGTAATGTTAAAAAGTTGGTCTGCTCAAGAACGTTATGAAGCAGGATAAGCAAAGTCGCTTCTGGTTCAAACTTGTTTTAAATTTCATGAAATTTAAAAAAAATGCAATTTTTTAAATTATTTTATGAATAATTACAATTTAATAATTCAATAATTCATAAAACTATGTGACATTCATTAAATAAAATTCTTATGATGTAATCTGTAATTTCAAAAAGTTTGATGATGTAATCTGTAATCGGACACATCACTGCAAAGTAATCTGTAATTTGTAATCTCAAGCTAATTTTAAAAGTAATTTGTAATCAGATTACTTTCCAAAAGTAATCTATACAACACTGATTATATATATATATATATATATATATATATATATATATATATATTATAATACGCCACGTTTCATTTTCTGAGTTATCTTTACATTTTTAAAAATTTTTGAAAGCAATTAACAACAGCTTTAATGAAACGAAACGTCTCGTAAGAAAATTTTTTCAGTACAATTTCATTAACGAATCTTAAAGTCATAACTGAAATAATCTCACATAATGCAGGTGCGTAAACGCATCTACCGTAACACTAACAAAAACTACACACACTTACAGACAACGACACACACACACACACCACATACACACAAACCCACTCATACACACACAAAACACACATAAGCACACTCATACACACTCAAATATATACATAGTATTGCATACATACGTTTATTCACACGTAAGCTTACATGCGCGAAGATGTGCGATGCAGTAAAGGAGAAAAAGCAGTCAACAAGACTCAAAAACAGAATTGAAGAGGAGAAGAGAGCCATGGCTCATTGTTTTTAAAGTTTTGTTCATCCATGTGACTTGATGGATGAGGATGACGTGATGTTGCATGTATTGCAGGGTATAAATATGGAACAGATGATGACGGAAGAGTTATATATGCGTGTGCACTTTGTCTACTGCGGTTTCATCCAGTAAGCCAGCCAACCCATCAATTTTTCAACTTACTCCTACTTAATACAGAAGACTTCAGTGAGATTGATGTTATCAGATCTTGCTGATGACATTAATGTTATTGATGTTTCTGTCGCAGCTGAATACAGTTTGTAACATTTGTTTGCAAGTTATTTGATAATTTTTTAAAAATTTAGTTTATTTTTCTAAATTTTACTTAATTTTGAAATTTGAATAATTAAATTAAATAACGAATCTGGTAAATTTTTTTTTCAAAATGCAAAATTTGAAAGGTTGAAATACTTTTAACAGGGTTAGTCTTTTGAAATTTTGCATTTCTAATAATAACAACTCTATAATAATGAAAAAAAATTATGTTTTGCCAGAAAAAAGCAAATATTATTTTTTTGTTATTTCATTACAGTGTATGAACCTACATTTGCAAATATTCATAAAAATATATATTCATTCATTATATTTTCATATTTATCTAGTTGCATTGAGTTAATTATTATTATTCATATTATTATTTATTAGATTGTTCTTAAAATAATTTTTTTATTAGAGTTTATTAAATTATTTTTATTAAATTATTATTAACTTTTTAACATTTATTATATTTTTTTCGTTACATTTGGCTGCCTTCAAAGTTGACCTTATAACATCGTTGATTGTGATTTATTTCATTTTAATATGCTGGCATTTGCAAGTAAATTGCCCATTACATACACACATGCATACATACAAAACACATACATACATACATACAAACAAACAAACAAAAGCAAACAAACAAACATCCGATTTTGCGAATACGTTGCGAACACACGAAAGTTTATCTCCGTTAAAATTTTTATTTTCGCTTACTAAATAAATACTAATTTTCGTTTTAAAGTTGATTGTACTGGCTGCTTTTAATTTCAGGATTAAAATAATATATAATTTGTGGTTGAAATATCTGAATTATTGATAATTTGATGCCAATTTAGTTGTTTTCTTCAGCTGAATTTTCACGTGGCTTTGTTCAGGTATAGGTAATACACATACTATCATTAGCAAATAAATAAAGTATTTTCCAACTGTACATTACGAATACACGTCAAAACAAGAAAGAAATTGTACAATCGTTGAAAGCACTTCAATGTTTTCAATGCTAGTACATATTTGATGGAGATTTTACTTCAGGTGGAGTATACTCCGTTATACGTTCTAACGTTTATATAGAATGGCTCTGTGATGAATGCCTAAAAAATGTTTGCGATTTAAAATCCTTGTCTTAATCTATCGACGCTGTTAATAATACGTTTAACGGAAAATTAAACGAAATAAGTGAAGTTAATGCTTCAATAAAATAACAGTTAAGTTGAATAGAACTGAATTTAAAATATTGAAAAATCATCGATTGAGGGTATCAGTCATTCGTTTAGAGAAAAAGTTGATAAATCAGTGAAATTAATGTTGGAATGAAATCCCAGTTGAACTCAATTGAATGCGCAACGAGAACAAAGGTCTGTGATGAGATCAGCAGTCTCCGATGTGAGATGAAAAGATCTTTTGCAAGTGTGGGCGGCACTGAAGTTAAACAAAGAGTTAAAACTATCAATGAAGATTTAAAAATTGTTCGAAGAACACCGAACATTGTTGTCGAGTCTAAAGAGAGAGAGAGAGAGAGAGAGAGAGAGAGAGAGAGAGAGAGAGAGAGAGAAGCCATTGCGATGCCTTTCAGACTGGAAGAAGACCCCGATGATGATAAGGATAGATTTCTCAAAATGATTGGCAAATTGACTGATGACGCTGTTGGTGAAAAAAAAACATACAAAATTATGAGGTTAGGGAAAAAAAGTGAAGAAGTTGTCAGATCGGCACTCATCAGGTTCGACGATGCCAAATAAAGAACATCTTTTCAAAGATTTGTTCAAGCTCAAAACTTTGAAAGATAAATTGGCTCACGTCAAATTTAGCCAAGGTTGAACAACTGAACAGCGTAGTGAGTTGAAAAACATGGATTAATTTGTGATGGATTGGATATTCTGGTTTTGACGGAAACTCGGCATGGGTTTATGTTAGTTGGAAACATATTTGACAGTTTAGCTATAGCCGAGGTATCGGTTTGTTGATTTTGTTAGGCAGCATGATCCAGGCTATGGCGGTTTGGTAGTATATTTTCGTAAAGAATTCAAGTTTAAAAAACCAATACATACATATGTAGATGCATACATACAAACACACAAACACACAAACAAACAAACAAACAAACAAACAAACAAACAAACACACATACATACATACATACGGTCATACATGCGCTGACCGATGGTGCTACATTCGTTGAATTTGTCTTTTGGTTATTGGTCAATTTGAAATAAATTACATGAATAAATTAATGTTGAAAAATGTTAATATGTTTAATTAATTTAAAAATTTTGGAAGGAATAATTTATTATTATGTTGTAAATAAGTAAAAAATTGTGTAAATATGTGAATAATCCAATAATCTGAATAAATATGAAAGATATTTTTTTTTTGTAATTTCGATGTACAGCTAACAAGTAACTTATTTTCACAATGGAATTGAATTTGAATCTTGAGAAGACAGTAGTCATGGCGGTCTTAATAATTCTTCGTTACATCTCAACTCACTCGAATATCACCGTACCGACCGGTAGAAAGTCAAACAATACCGACACGCATTACCGATCCTCTCTACAAAAAATAACCGCCGATCCTAAAACCGGCAATATTTACGTCGGAGGAATGAACCAACTCCTTCACTTGACCTCTGACCTTGAACTTGTGACCTGGCACCGATTGGGCCCAATGATGGACAACCCGAACTGCCCACCCCCCAACCTGGAGTGCAGGCACCAGAGCAAGTCACTGGTGGATAGCTGGGTCAAGGTTATTCTTATTGATCAGCACAGTGACAGGCTCATCGTCTGCGTCAATTTGTTTCAGGTTGTTAAAACTGGTTTTTAAACTTTTAAGTGTAAGCATTTTTTCTTATAAAAGTAATTAATGTATATTATACAGAATAGTGTGTGTGTGTGTGTTTGTGTTTGTGTGTGTGTGTGTGTATGTGTTTGTGTGTGTGTATTGTGTATGTCCGATAACTAGTCTGCCCGAGCAATAAAACAAAGTTCGATTTTATTTCCTTGTTATGGATGGCTCTTTCTGAAACATTTATTTTCCTTTGTTCTCATTGGCCAACATTGAATGTACGTTTTGCTTATGACTGTACGCGCGTGTATACTGCTTACGTATGTGCACGCACGCACGCACATAGGCGGTCTGTGTACGTGTAAATATTCACATAGATAAAAAAATCTTTGTATATACAAATGAATGAAATCAGACATTTAAGTTTCTGCATATGGTTAGACAAATTTTAATCAATAAAAAAATTGTATTATCGTAAAATTAATAAGTGGCGGATTAATAATTATAATGAATATCTATAATCAAAATCAATTTTAATGACATAATTTTAATATAAAATTAATTATATAAAAATTATAATACAAAATTAATTATGACTGCATGAAACTTCTGGACAGGGTCACTGCAAGAGGCACTCATTAATGAATGTGTCGTTAATTGATGAGGCCGGCCGGAACATGGTCGTCCCAAACGACGAAACATCATCAGTCACCATGCTCCTATCAGCATCGCCATCATCGTCACCACCACAACTACATTCTTCTAATTATTTGGCACCACCACCATCATCATCTTCTTCATCATCGTTAACACCGTCGTTGTCTCGTTTATACGTGGCCGCAACGAGAAGTTTACACGGCTCTCCAGTTTACAGGAGCATGGTACCTTCCGTCTCAATAAGAAACCATGAAAACTTTGAATTAATATTTGACGATGGCCTACATGCATCTTTTCTCGAAGTCGAAATACAACACAGGGATTCTTTTAGAGTTAATTACATTCATTCCTTTCAGTGGAAGAGGTTTGTTTACTTTCTGACCGTTCAAAAGTCGTCGGTTGTCGTCACGACGTCAGGAAGTAGTGGCAGTGGTGGTACGACAAGTGGTAGTGGTCGTGGTAGTAGTGACGGTAACGTAGATAGTGGAGGTGCTGGAATGGGAGCTGGTAGTGGTAGAAGTGGTCCTGGAGGTTATAGCGGTCCAGGTGCCAACGAGCAACTGGTTACAAAGTTAGTTCTGCTTTCATGATTTTTTTTATTGTAAGACACTTTTTGTTTACATTTCTGATACCCTGCATACACGTCACGCACAAGTCACTAACATCACGGCCATTAGGGTGATCAGCGTTTTCATCACCATCGCTATTATGGCCATCATCACTATTATCATTTTCGTCTTCCTCTTCGCTCTTCTTTCCTTCATCATTATCTTCTCCCTCATCATCTTTTTCATTCTCATCTTCTTCATCATCATTCCCATCATTATCTTCTTTTTCATCATCTACTTCTACTTCTTCATCATCATCTTCATCATCATCTTCTTCTTTTTCTTCTTCATCATCATCGTCATCGCCATTCCCATCTTCCTAGCTACCTTATTTATAGTCAGCGTTTGCAGGCGACAAGCGAGCGGATGTGGCTGATGAGTTGAATGGTCGGCTGTGACGTCACGATGACCGTTTAAGACGTTTTCACATGAAATTATTCTGTCTCTCTCTAACAGTTTATACAATTAAAAATGGAGTGCTTTATTTATCAATTTTATTATTATCATTTTCTGTATATTTCTAAAAATTATTATCAATATTTTCTGTATATCGTGAACAATTTTAATTATTATTTTTTAAAATAATCTGCTAATAAAGTATTTTTGTTCTGAAATAAAACACCAATCATATTTCTACGCAACTAACACGAGTGTGCGTGATTAAATTCGCCTGCGTTTGAGCGTGCAAGCGATATGTAAATGAATGCGTGTATGTACTTAGGCGTGTATGTGTGTATATGTGTATATGTGTGTATGTGTGTGTGTGTATGTGTGAGTATGTGTATGTATTTATCTATGTATGTGTGGGGTCTTGTCAAAGTCAATTCCATATCTAAGTGGAGAAAATTATTTTTTTTATTTCCTATTTTCCAGTGATTATTTCACGCCAAGGTTTTAAGTGGAGATTTGCACGTTCGTTCATCCATCTGAAAATTTTCCATGTGAAAATTCAATTTGAATTTTCCAACTAGTTAGAGCCTCCTATGTATGTGACACCTGAAATCTCTCCTCTTACACGTCATCTTCAATATCAACGTAATTATAATAATAATAATAATTATTATTATTATTACTACTATTAATAATAATATTATAATTATTTAACGTTAATGTTTTAAAAATGTTTATTTTGAAAAACTTGACCGTAATTATTTTAAGTTTTTGCAAACTTTGTCACAGGTTTTTTTTTTAAATTTTTCGCAGTTTTTTTATTTTTTTTTTTAAATTTTATTTATTTATTTTCACACAGTGGGTTGTACAGTCTTTCGTGTAGAATATTTTTATGTTGTTGTTATTTTTTATCTATTTTTTATCATTTGTATCATTGTATCATTCTAATCTTTTGTATCATCGATATCGTATCAATCATTTGTATCATCTCGATATCATTTCAATCACTTGTATCATCGTCACCGTTGCATTGCGAGTCGATTGCACATTTAACACGCCCGCCCCGTCATTCCCATTTTCAAACTCGTTAAAATTAGCATCATTTAGTCTCTACATTATATACATGTTTGTGTGTATGTTTGTGTATGTGCGTATGTGTGTGTGTTTTATTGTTTATGGGCATGTACGTTTGTGTGTAAGTTTGTATGTCTGTGTAACGTCTAAAAGATGTAATTGTTTACCGACATGGCCCGACGAATGACCGCTAGTGAGTCGCGCAGTTCTTACAACAAACAAATGGCTGTAATCGAAAACGTGCGTGCAACTGAGTTTTACATTTAAAATACCTCAGAAATAATGTCCACCAAATGCGCTGTGGGCATGTGTCATTCAAGTGAATTTCAGCTAAGAGAGTACACTGATGTATCCTTGGTGAAAATTTTGTTGATGTAACAGTGATGTGCGATTGCGTCGTGGTGTAACGACATATTGATGTAACAGTGATGTGCCCGTTAATGTGATCATGCGAAAATGTAATGGCGTATTGATGTAAGTGTAATGACATCGCTGAGTGATGTTGATGCAAGGTTGATGTGATAGAACGGAAATCCCAACCAATCACCGAAACATCAATCTCAATTTTGTTGCCCGCCTACTTGTTATTTTTGCTTCTCACTCGAGCATCGCCCGCGAGAAGGTTAACGACATTTGTAAATAGGCCAGCGCACACAAACACGCACATTCACACACGTACACAAACACACACACACGCACAGACGAGCACACATACACACGCACGCACACACATCACATACTCGCGTCATAAGAATAACCACTAATATCATCATTATCCTCATCATCATGATCATTACCATACCACAATCGTTATCATAATCATTATCAGTTATCACAATCATCTTCATTACAATCGTTATCATGCCACAATCGTTATCATAATCATTATCAGTATCACGTTATCGTTTCATTTCATCTTCGCGCGCTTTATTATTCCGTTCGTTTGATCGGACACCTGAATGGACTCTTGACACCAACAGTCATTTCCTCCCTAACTAGTGGAGTGTACGTACACGTGTCGCATACGCTCGTGTGCAGCATATAAGTGTACATTCACTTGGATATTATACACTTTTGTGTATCTTTGTATACGTGTATTTATGTATCTACGTTTAATTATGTATGTATTCAACGTGTACACTTAACTTATGAACGTATCTATAAACATGTACACATTGTTTTTATTTGTGTGTAAATTAGTGTATTCCTTACATACTTGCATGCTTGCATATGATAATGCTTCCTTTTGAGTTTATTAGCGTCCAAGGATTTGCCTTGCACAGGCAAGTTTATATCATTAAATAAGACGTGAACATAAACATAAAATCAAAGTACACACACACAAAAAGACACACACACACAAACACACACAAACACACACACAAACACACACGTGCATACCCAGTGGCATTCATGAGTAGCCACAGATACAGGCACAGGAACATTTAGTAATGTTATTTGACTTTAATTATGCACCTCCGCTAAACTGCCTTCATATTTTCTTCTCCTTTCTCGCTTTCGTTCATTTGCTATGCAGAACCTCCACGACTTGGGAAATGCTTTATCTTTGAAATGTTCTGCGCTACAAAAGCTGTTTTTTTTCTAAGAATGGTAATCATGAAGTTATTTGTTTCTTTTTTTTTTGAATTTGCATGTTCTTATCTTTTCTTTGTAAGAAATAGTTCTCTATTTTATTTTTTTTGTAAAACTTAATTATTTCAGAATTATTTGTCATCAAATGTGTACATGGAATATATATTATTTAATAGATAAAACTTAGTAATAAATTTAATAACAAATGTAGACTCATAAATGTTATAGCGCCGAACAATGTCTTTCAATATTAATGCATACTTTGACATTTCTAAGACCAGCGCCATTGAAGTTTTAAATGTACCGAACTCTGTGCAGTTAGACATGCATGATTTAATACATGCAGTTGTCCTGTATGTTCTGTTGTGTATCTTCTGTTGTGCACATACTTGCTGGTGTATACATCTTTGTATGTTGTATTGCATATATATGTAATGTATATATATATGTATATATATATATATATATATATATATATATATATATATATATATATCTGTGTGTGTGTGTGTATTTGTGTCTATGACTCTGAAATGGATAAAATTTGCTGTTGTAGTTAGCGTCTTAATTATCTTTCATTTAACTGGAGTAATACAAATTAAAAAAATTATTATTTTAATATTTGCGTTTCACTAAGTAAATAAAAAAAAATCGACTACTTCTTGCTTTTCCGGTTGGTCAGCATCTCAGACGCCAGTGGCACGTAACGCGGCATGGCCAGCTGCACACGCAACGAACATTTAAAACTTTCAGTTGAAGTTGAACAGATTGCACAATTTGATGGTAGCTCACAGCATAGATTTCCAAATGATCATACTTAAATAGTTGCAAGTGGCATGCATATAAATACATATATATACACACACCACACACACACACTAACACACAAGCCCACCACACACACATGTATACATATATATACAAAATACAAAAATATACATGCAAATACAGTCATACATAAAGACGCCACACAAGCTGGCACACCCAACAAACAAGTCGTTATAGATGCCCCTAACACGTGAATGTTCCCTTGAATGTATGTGTTTGTTTGTATTGGGGATCTATGTATGTGTGTGTGTGTGTGTGTGTGTGTGTGTGTGTGTGTGTGTGTGCGTGTGTATGTTTATTAAAATACGCGTCATTTTATTTTGTTGTTTTTTTTTCTATTTTTTTTAGTCTGAACGTGTTGCTTGCATGTATTTGGACCGTCGTCTTGTAATGTTTTTTTACGCAAACTCTGAAGCGTGTTAGCATTACATGGTACTACCATGTAATGCTGGCTTTATAAGTGTATACCATTTTTATATTCAGTTTTTTAGAGGAAAAATTAATTTCAAATGTTTTCTTATTAAAATATGAAATTAATTTTGTTTTTATTTGAAATCATAAACATTCATGATAATGTTAATGTTGATATTTTTTCAACAATTAAAAAATGTTTTCAAATAAAACCCTTTTAAAAAACGAATTTCTTAATGTTTATGATAAACTTGATGTTTCTCACAAGTTTAGTAGTCTAGGCTTTATCTTTGATTCTAGCATGTTTCTTTCTTCTCATATTAACAGTGTCGCTAGCAGTTCTTACTTTCATCTATCTAGAATAAAAAATTTTTCTTGACGATCCTACTTTATTCCTACTTGTTATTTCTTTAGTTTTATCTAAGATTGCTTATTGTAACTCGCTTTATTATGGCCTTCCTAAGTACTTATCAGATATATTAATTAAACCTAAACGATCGTCTTCTTGTTCTCACTTCTTAACTCGTGTTAAACACTCTTTTGCTGAATCTGCATTTACTTTTTGTGGCCATTTTTTCTGGAACTCTCTACCTCTTTTTCTGACTACTCCTCCATCACTTACGAAGCTCAGAGCGGATCTCAAGACCCATCTGTTTGCAAAATTCACTGAGGAGCGCTGTTGAACATCGCGAAAATAGCGCTTTATAAACTATTTGATTGATTGACTGTTGAACGTTAATGTTGATATTTTTTTTAATGAAAAATATATTTTAATAAAACATTTTTTAAATTTATAGTTAGATTCAACAACGCTTTGTTCCATTTGGTAGATTTAAAAAATGTCTTTCGAATATAAACGTTTGCATGTATGTCTGAATTTTGCAAAAAAAAAATAAAAACATTTCTTTTTCTATATTTTTATTATTCTAATTTTGTTTCTGTTTTATTAAAAAAATATTCATAAAAATTTGGAAAAATACGAGAAAGTCACCAAAAAGTTCTCTTTCGAAATGGATGAAACCTAATTAGATGTTTGGGAATTGAGAGACGTTATTTCAATTCATTTGGGAATGTTAGCGCAAGGAAGA